ATGTTTGCATGTGTGTTGTTGCTTCATTTTCATCATGTATGGCCACTGATTTGAGTGTGGCTGAGGCCCATTCATTTTATTTAATCCCTTGCCATGCCTTAGTAGAGTTGCACTTTGTGCCTTTGGTTTGGTCCCTCACATTGTGCATGTTTGCATAAGTGTTGTTGCCTTAATTTCATCATGGTTGGCCACTGATTTGGGTGTGGCTAAGACTCACCTATCTTGGTTTAAGTCCATCTTGCATTGTATATGCCATTTAGTCCATGTTGTTGCATGTTTGACCATTGCATTGTGTATGCCTTGATCATTTCATTGTTAGTCTCCATGTGTGCATTGCGTATGCCATATAGTTTCCATGTGCATTGAGTATGCCATTGATTATTTCATAGCATTGTGTATGCTAGTAGCATGTTTGCGTATCATCATTTGCATGTTTGCATCATTTAGTGGCATTATGTTAATATAAAATAAATAAGCTAGCATGCATGCATTCAGGACCGAGCTGAGGCAATCCATTTCATATGTTTTGCATACTAGCTTATTTATTTTATTTAATCTGTTAATTAATTAGGGTTGTGTAATAATTAGCTATAATTCGTTATTTATTCGGTTGTGTATTATTTATTCGGACCCTCCAAGGAGGGCAATGTTGTAATAAGTGTGTGTGCGTGTGATGTATGTCTTCCAGCCCCACGTCTTTCTCCCTTTTATTTACCAGCTTATGATGGTTAGTTTTAGAGCATGTTTCAATTAGCATCCTTGTGCTCGCATGTTTACATCCATTCATCTGTCTTGCATGCACCGGGCTCAGCGCATCATACTAACTGCATTGTATTTCAATTCCAAGTTGAATACATGTTATCTGTTGCATTTCATATGCCATGTTTAGAATAGCCGAGCCTATCTTAGTTGCATTTTGCATGTGTTGCATTAACCATCTTAACATGAATTCGGATCATGCATTGATTACTAACTAGTTTCTATTTTGGCTTGGAGTACTCGGTGAGTGTTTATGCTTTAGCATCCTTGCATGCGTGTGAGTAACTGCCATGATAGCATGCTTACCATGAGGCTATTTGCTTATGTGATATAATTGCCTGAATGCCTGTGGGTGAAGGTTGGGTTATTTGAATTGGAACAATTCACCAATTAAGAGTTTTAAGCCCACTTGAGAGTGGCAAAATCATGTTTTCTTAAGCCCACTTGAGGGTGGCAAATCCATGTCTCAGCCTACTTGTGAATAGCATCATCAAACCATCTTTCAAATAAACAAACATGAAATGTTTTGTTCTAACTCAAACGATCCAGTCTATACTTGTATGTTGTGTGCATCACATAGTAATTCTAGGCTAATAACCAGAATAAGAGCACATAATGTTTTCAAAACTCGATATCATGGTTAGTAGAGGCCAATTTTTGATCGGGCGAGCGGGGGTGCTCACGAAGTGACCTTCCCCAATCGTATCCAAGTTCCCGAGCCGAGGCAACTTTAGTGATGACGGACATGTGACCTTAGGCACGAGTCAGGGTTTCCTAAATTCCCCAAAATAAAATATTTAGGTGGCGACTCTGTGTCTAGCAAAGCAGTCCATGTTTGGCACTTCTTTCTAAAAATCAGTTTTTCAAAACGATTTGCCGGATTTAGATTCTTTGATGATTCATCGGTTTTGCATAGCACTCTGCGAGATTAGATACATGATCGTGACATTGAGTCCAAACTGTAGTAAACCCCAATGAACAAAACAGGATTCCCTTCCGGGATGTTCGGGGACGTCTACACTAACTCAAACGGATAAGGTAGATCAAGGCAGTGTGCGAGGACAACCTCTTTTCGATGCGAATACCACCTGAATTTTACATGTGCCCACTATATACATGGATGAAACCTAACAAGCCCACCGCCTTAATTTTAAATTCACATTAATTTTGTACTCTCAAGCACAAAATTGTTGAAGTAGTTCAACACACTGTCGTACATCTTACAAATTTTGGCGCTGTCTGAGGTAAGATTCAAATAGATTCATATCTAAAAGAAGTTTTTTTTTATATAGATTTTTAGTTTTATTACTAACCAAAATCTAAAACAAATTAATCAATATCGAACTGATGACTTGTAAGTCACATGAAAGTTACATATTAATTTTTGAAATTAATAGTGTTATGATGATAATATAATTTTTTTTCATACATTGCTAACATATATTTGACTTTAATTTGTTAAATAAATGTAGTTTTGATTAAAAATAAAATATAATAAAAATATTTTATTTGTTTGGTCTAAGTTTTGAAAATTGTTTATGATTTTTTTTTTTTTTTGAGATTTTGCTTTTAAAGAAATATTTTCATATTTTAATCAATTTTTTTTTAAAATAAATTATTTGTAAATAAAAATTATTTGTAAATACCAAAAAAAAATGAAAAAATACACTTGTTATTTGTATTTCTTTATATTTAGTCATTTTTTTATTTTTATAAATATTTTACTTTTCAATTGAATATAGATTAAATTAATTTAAAAAATTGAATAAAGAAAATGTGATTTTTTTTAGGGTCCCTGGTATTAAGATTTTATACCATGAATGACACCCAATATTTTTATAATGTCTAAGGTCCCTCAACATTGATCTAGAGAAAATTCGATTTAGAGAATTTCTCTGGTCCCTGAGAAATTTTGGGTTCAAAGCAGAGAAAATTGAAATTTCTCTAAGTTCAAATCAGAAAAATCCAGGGAAATTTGACTTTGTTCACAGATAATTGAAATTTCTCTAGCTTGATTGATACACAAACCTACAATCTCTTGATTGATACAATATGTATATCTTATCCCAAACCTAATCACTATCAAACACATCACACCCACCACCATTTTCACTCAAGCACTCAACCCTTCAATCCTCAACAAACCTATTAAATTTCAGCAACACAAACTCCTCAGACCCTGTTGAAATTGGAAACCTTTTTGCCATAGCATTGTAATCCAAGTAAAGAAGCAACATATGACACATACAGATACAATAAAGAATCCTAGAACGTCCAAAGAGGGCTCGAACAATCTCAAACGCTTGAATTTCTTGAGAAAATCAAAGTGAATTGGCATTGTTTCCATGTCCTGATGATATGGGTTGTTAGACATTTGGATTTAGAATCAAAATTGCACATAAAGAAAAACAAGAAACAGAGCAGAGGGCAAAACAAAGGGCATTGGTTCTGAATCTTTTTTTTTTTTTCTTCCCTTTTTGGGTTCTTTACTTAGTGTGTGAACAAGATGGGTGTCAAGAAAGCAAGGTAGTATTTATAGAGAGGAAAAAGAGATATTGAAATTCACACCTTCCATTGTTAATGGCTTTAGAGAGAGAGAAAGAGGAAAGAGAGGGAGGGAGGGAGAGGATTTAGAGAAAATTGAAATTTTTCTGAGTTCAAGCCAGAGAAATCCAAAAAAAATTGAAATTTCTCTTGTTTTGTTCATAAATTTCTTTGGCTTTGTTCATAGAGAATTCAAATTTCTCTGACTTTGTTCACAATTTTAAACCAAAGGAAATTGTTTTAACCAAACCATAGAAATTTGTGAGCCAATCAAACAAATTTTAACCCAGAAAAATTTTGTAAATACAGAGAAAATCAATGAAATTGAGCAAACCAAAAAATTTCAAACATAGATAAATTTTTGCTTGTAGTACTAGGGTGCCTTTTAGTACCAGTAATATAATCTCATATGAGCTTTGAGGTCTAACCACCCCTACTATCATGAATAACACACAATTACCATGAGCACACACACATATATATACAGACAATTGGCCAAAAACAGAGATGTACTCTCACAAACTAGTTTTTGCTTCCAAACTTGAGAAACTGCAATAACAACCTCCACTGCTGTTGTGTATTGGCAATTGTAAACAATGGAAGTGTGATCATAACTATCAATTCATGCCCCAACACTTTTTAAAAACAATGAAATTTCAAACCAGAGAAATTTTACAAATTTTTGTGTTTTGAAATTTCATGAAGACGAAATCGAAAGTAATGAAGATCTACGGCGATTTCAAGAAGGCGAAGTAGCCGATCTCTTCTAGAGACAAACTCACAAACTTTCACTATAGAAACGACTACACTTTCTCTTTCTTTATGGGTTGAGAAAATCATGAGATTGGGAGACGAGAGAGAGAGAGAGAATTAGAGATTTTAGAGAGAGAAAGAGATGCAGAGATGAGAGAGAGGAAAAGAGGAAGAGAGGAGATAAAATAAAAAAATAGGTGTTAGGGTTCAATGGAACTCATTTTAGATGAGTGAGATATATGAGGATAGGTGAGGGACCTAAGATATCATAAAATAATATTGTGGATCTCTCCCATTACTAAAAATGGGAGAGGGACCTTAAACTAATTTTCTCTAAAAAAAGTTTCAAAAATATTTTTTGAATTTCAAAATCAATCAAAGAATTATTATTATAAAAATAATCAGCTTGTTTGGTTTTGGTTTCTAAAAAACACTTCTAAGAAAATTTTACTTTTTTATTTTCCATATTTTTTTAGTTTTCAATGAATTTTTTTTAATATTCTAAGCAATTTTTTATTTTTATTTTTTAAACAGACCTAATATAAATACACTTAAAAATTATAATATTTGTGAAAAAAATCTTTAAAAAATTTACTAAATATCAAAAATACAATAAAAAATATAAAAATTGAGTACATTTTTCAAATTTTTGTGTATTTATTAATTTTAAAAATATTTTTTCACAAATATTTACTATTTAGATACATCTAAGTAAGGTGTATAAAAAAAAAAAATGTTTAAAATTTTTAAAATATTCACTAAAAACAAAAAATATAAAAGATAAAAAACTCAATTTCTAAAAAATTAAATTAAAAAAATTGAAACCAAACCGAATATTATTTACTCAAAACAGTTTTTGAGTTTCAAAATTAATATTTTAAAATTTGAACAAAATTTATTGTTAAAAAAAAAGAAGAAGCTATAAGAAAAGGAGGGAAATAATTATTTGGTGACCTTTTTCTAAGTTGTTCCGTCCGGTTCGTCCGACCTCCATCTCAGTATTTCTTCGTCCTTAACTCTCTCTCTGTCTCTAGCTTTCAATGTGTTTGAATTTGGGATCAGAATACTACTTTCTCTCTCAAGAACAATCGGCGAACACAAGAATTGGGGATTTCTAGAACTTGATTTGAAGGGGGAGAGAGAGAGAGAGAGTGATCAATTTCAATTCGAAAGTTGGAAAGTCTCTGCAGATCTTCCAATGGCGGTCGACACGAACTTCGCCTCACTGTTCGAGAAGCTGAAGCTGGAAGATCCATGGCTTCCGCCTAGACCTTGGGAATCGATTCCTTCCGAGAGTGGTTTCTCTCACTCCAACAATTCAACCTCTCAGTCTTCTCTCTCTACACCTCTTTACGACACTCCCATTGTCTCTGTAAGTAGTTCAGTATTATTTTGATTCTTCTGCTTCAATTCTTTTACAATTCAATTCTTTTGATCTATATGTAGTAATGTGTGTGTGTGTGGGGGGGGGGGGGGGAGGTTTGGGGGGGGGGGGGGCGGTACAACATGGAAATGCAAGTAAATTATTGGTCATTGTCGGGGAAAGTTCCATCAAGTTCTCTGATTCTGCACATGTTATCGATTCTCTCACAATTTGGTTCACTTTTTGTATGAATGCCATGCAGCTTATTCATATCTCTCCATTCATCTATATATACATATATTTGTGTGTGTGTGTAAAACCTAGAAATTTAGGGTGAATTAACAGTCAATGTGGGGAAAATACCATGAAGCTCTGGTTTTGAAAGATTTTATTCAGTACTATATTATGTTTAAAAAAAAAACTGAAAATCCAGCTTCATACAGTTCCATTCACTTTGAAGAAAGATTTGATTTTGTTTTTCCAGTTGTAATTTCTGTGATTATGTGATTTTAAAGTTCATTTAAGCCTTGATAGAGTTGTTTCTAAGTTATTAGTAGATACATAAGTAATCCCAATGCCAATCATTGGAAGTCCAATGTACGGGTGCTCAGGTACTTGTGGTATATCAAGTTGTACTAGGAGGCTACATGGTGGTTGTGCTTTGATATTTTTTTTTTTGGATAAATAATCAAACTTTATTGAGAGAGCATTAAGATGATGCAAAAGAATACAAAAAAAGCCCAGGAACGGGGAAAACACTAACAACACCTAACCAATAACAGCATCTAAGAAATCTAAGAAAACAAACAAATCCGGAACCGCCCTCCTTTCCAACCAACTATACAAAACTATTAATAAACAGCTCTCTAGCCAAGACTTGTGCTTTGATTTTTTTTTAGTATTATTATATATATATATATCTGAATTTCCTTTGGAATTATATGTTTGTGGGCAACTCACCATCTCAACCCTTGTGAGCTTTATAGTCCACCAGTATGTTTGAATTTTGAAATATGGCCTTCTTCTGAAATCACAACAATGATTATGGGTTTGTTTGGTTGTAGGTTTTGCCTTATTGCTTGAATTTCTCTATTGTGTATTAGTGAATTCAAAATAACTGGATTTGTAGATGAAGTAATTCAAATTATTGTACGTGCCGACTTAGACAGATCTTGAATCTTCTCACTTTTGATTAGGTAATTCTATGTTTAAAAAGAAATTACGAATTTAACTTTTCATAAAAGCAATAATATTTGTAGATTTTGGAGTTGATTCATTGTTGCACTGGAAGGACATCTAATTGTCTAATTCTTAAGTGGGATTATTTTAAAATGGACTAATTCTTTTTTTGGGACAACTAAAAGGTCCAATTCAGTGGCAGTATTTTTGTAAGATCTAGCTAGTATTAACTCTTGAAATAGTGAAGTCCACATTGTTTTGGTCATTGCTAGTACTATAAAGGACAAAGTTCCTACACCACCATTGCACTTGACAAAATAATTCCAGATGATTTTCTTTTTTCTTCTTCTCAACTGGTTTTCTCTTTAACTTGTCACTGTTCCATTCATATTTAGTGTGGTACTTAGTTCTGTTCGTATCTCATTCTAGCTTGTTTTTTTGGTTGCAGGAGGCAAGTTTGGTGAGATTGGCAATGAATGCACTGCAAGGTATAGAATCAGCTCTCATAACCATTGAAAATCTCTGTGCAGCATTCTGTTCTGATCCAGCTGACAGAACATTCCATCGAATTCCCAGTTTATGGAAACGGTCGTCAAGCACTCTTGCTTTGGGAAAGATACTCAAATCCATAGGCCGCTCGGGTTGTGTAGTCTTTATTCTCCATAAATTTGTGGATCATTTTAAAAATTTTAATTTTGATGAAAGTTTGAGTTGCAGTAAACTTATGAATTCAGAAGCAGAGGAAAATCATAATGATCGCAAGGGTGAAGGGGGAGAACACCACCCATACAGTCTTGTTAATCAGGCATTTTCTGTTGCTGTGCAGAAGGTTTTAGAAGGTTACATATGCACACTGGATACACTTTTTGCATCAGTGGGTTTAAGACGTTCATCAAAGACTGTTGAAGTTACCCTATTGGAGGTTTACCTCCACACAAAGGAATTGAGAAGTCAGATTGAAGCTATTGGAAATATCTGCAATATTCATAATATAGCTCTTTGCTTTTCAGTATCCTCTTTTGAGGGTTTAATTGCCAAAGCAAATTTAGAGTTTCATAAGTTCCCAAGAGGTGGAGATCTGCTCACTTATTTGTATACACAACTACGGGTCAGAAACTCACCATTATTAAATTTTTTTGTTGTTTCTTCCACTTTCTTTATCTACTGTTGATGATTCAATTAGTCACTTTATTGTGCTTTTCAACTTATTATTTTATGTTTTCATTGCTAGCTTTATGTTAATAATCATTTCATGTCAATATCCTTCATGCAATGTGGATTGTTCACTCGTAAACTTCATGTTTGCTAAAATCTTCTCCTTCCTTCTAGGTAGCAGAAATATATAGGTGAGAGCAATAACCAAGTGGACAAAATCTACAATGTTATAATGTTGTCTCGCTTCGAGGACATCTGGACATGCATTTGTGAGAGTCAAAAGCTATGCTGTTACCTTTCCATCTTTGTAAATAAAAAAAAGGACAAGTATGTACATATTGCGTGATGGCACAGATATAATATTCTTGACCTCAAGAATACTAATTTTTCTCCGGTGATTGAAAATTTGTGTTAGTGGAACTTTTATATTGATCTCTTAAAGGCTGTATCTGATGTTTATAGCTTTTGATTATATATGTTCCTTTCTGTAACATTTTTGAGGTTCCGCTAATCTGTGTTTTTGACATTTAACTTTGTAGGTTGCTGATCCTGCCCACACTGCTCTCCTCAAGTTTCTCTTTCTCTGTTCATGCGAACCATATTGTGAATTTATTAGATCATGGATTTACAAAGCCAAGATTAGTGATCCTTATAAAGAATTTGTAATGGAATATGTCGAAAATACACCTTATCCACCTGGTAAAGCTGGAAGCTTTAGTGACATCCGATTAGCTACTATTAGGGTAATGCTATCAATTGTATTTTCACTTTCCAATCCAGAGGTTGTTTTCTGTGTAATTTACTTTTAGCTTCCCCCTCAGGATTTCCCTCACAATCTTGAAATTTTCCGTGTCAGGAGCGAGATGGAGTTGCTGTTCCTTGTTTTCTGAAAGATTTCTCAATTCCTCTTGTAAGAGCTGGTCAGCAGCTTCAAGTACTAATGAAGTTGCTTGAATTATGTAGTCATATTGGCACCGTAAATCATACTTATGAGGATATCCTTCCCTGCTGGAGTGGTTTCTCAAGTGATCATCCATATTATGCATCTCCATTGACTTTTAATCAAGGAAGCATAGAAGCTATGGTACTTGCAAGGAACGATTATTACAAAAGGATGCTGGAAAAACTTGACACCATTTTAACAAAGTTAGAAATCAGATATCAACAGGTATTTGCATCATAAGGGTCCACTGTTCTTCAATGTTTATTGTTTTTTCTGATTTTTATATTAATTAATAGTAAAATATGTGCTTACTTCCAGGAAGCAGTTACTTTTTTATTGTTTGTCTCTTTATGTTACTGTGCTGCTTACTTTTTTATTAATAGTAATTAATTGTAAAATATGTGCTTACTTTTTTATTGTTTGTTCTGTGTAGTAGTTTTGAGTTTGGTATTTTTGTATTTTCTTTTTTCTCTTTTTGGTTTTTTCCATCTCTCTTGTTAGAGGATGCCTTATCCTCTTTTTTCTTGGCCTTGAGCCTTAATATATCTTTGTTTGTTCCTGATCAAAAAAAATGTCACTGTGCTGCTTGATAAAGTTAAATTACCATTTTTTTGTAATAATCTATAGCACTGGGAAACATGGTGTTTGCATGAAGTTGTAATTCTGTACTCTTCAGTTATGTTATGTGCTTATGTCTGCAATGCTTTAATCAATATTCATTGTTCACTGTGGCCCTATTTGCTGCAGTGGTTGGAAACAGATTAGATTTTTGTTTTGAGCAGAAGCTGTTAAATTGTTTGGTGCAATGCTGTGTAATTATGAATTTGAGCAATAGAGTAGTGTTTGTTAGAGTTAGTTGTAAAGTAGCCTTTTGCTGTGTAATTGTCCTTTTTGCCCTTATAATTTGTGAAGTAGTGGAAATTGTTTTTTTTTTTCCCTCCAGATTTTAATTTTTTAGAAGTCCTTCCATACACAAAAGTTAATGGGTACGTTTGGTTTGAGTTTTAGAGATGAATTTTAGAAAAAAAATTTCCAAAAAATTGTTTGGTTTGAGATTTTTCTCAAAAAATTTTCAAAATCACTTTCTCTCTCTTACACATCAATCAATCACTTTTTCTCTCTCCTCTCTCCTTCTCAATCACTTTTTCTCTCTCACACATCTACTCAATTACAACAAAATATCAAATCATTCCAAACTTTCAAACTCTAAAACTACTTTCAAAATATATAACCAAACAAACCAAAAAAATTTCTAAAACAACTCTCCCAAATTTTTTTCAAAAACAACTCTCCCAAAAACAAGCCAAACAAGCCCAATAAATCTAGTACCCGTATCGGTACAATTCATACTTCATTTAAGTATTAAAACCCTATAAAACACATAATTTGATTTCCAATAAATTTCTCCTAAATTGGATGAAAACACCAGCTTCAAGATTCCAAGGCCTCATTCTACAAAACGGCTTAAAAACAACGCCCAATTAGTACACATTAATGTGTGTTTGGGAGGGGAAAGATTGGATACACACCTAACCTTTGGCATAGTGCGCAAAGTGGTTGACCTGTGACTTGAATCCATAACTTTAAAGTTATTGGGTGAAGGTTTTTACCATTGAACTGATGGCATAGTGCACAAAACGGCATATTTTTTAAAATTATTTTCATGTACAGTATAGTTGAAAGAACCCAAAAATGAGGGTTATGCATATATAATATAATACACGTATTTAAGTTGCAGCAAATGGCACCTATCATCTTATGGTAGATGGCTTTGGGTATTCTGTAGGTTTGGGTTGTGCTTTTGGGGCATACCAAGTAGTAGTTGGAAGGGGATCTCTGTGCAATTTTTCAGATTGTGGGAGGATAAGGAAGTTTGATGGTGGATTATGTGTGGAAGGAGGACGACATTTTTTTGGGATATCTTGCTTTTAGAGAAGTAGGCAATGTTGGGAGGTTGAGTAGGTGGGTGTTTTGATGCAAGGACAACCCAATATTTTTGTGCAAGGGTAAAGTGGTGGGCTTAGGAATAGAACAGGGGAATAAGGATAGAGTTTGTAAATCCATGGTTGTCAACCGTTTATTCGGATTTTGAAAATTGAAGCTCTGCATACATATTTTAAATAAAGAACTCTAGCCAATCAGAGAAGTACATGAGAGAAATAAGAACCCTGCTCCAAAAGGGTTGTTTGATCCACACCCAAAATTTTAGAAGAGTTTCACTCTCACCTTTAACTAATAGGTTTGTGTTGTAGAAAGGGACCCTCTACATAGATATACATGATAGGAAACCCTCAAGATATGAAAAAAGATATAATGACAGAAATTCCAGCAAAACAGATAGTCTCTCAACAAACAATATGTTTGGACTGCAGCCCGAGTCTACAACAGTAGGTAATGGGAATATTTTATTTTATATTATAAATAAAATTAGCCAACTTTTTTGAACAACACTGTTGACCAACTTGGGGTAAAGCTCTAAAAGTAGGAAATTCTAACCAAAACAGTAACTAATGAAATATCAAAATTCCCCAAAATAATTTTTTTTAGCAAACATGATTTTCTAAACGTCTATAAAGACTTATAATCCTAATTAAGGATCTAAAAAGTACTAACGAAGGACAAGAAACAAAAGACCTATTTATATATAAAAATAGGAACAAAAGACCCATAACCAACCAAGCAGCCGTAACTGAAAAATTACCAAATATCACTAAGCTAAAAGCTAGTGAGTAGTGACTTCTATACATGTTTTCTCCTTTTAGTTCCTGCGCCATTTATATAATGTGCCGAGCATAGAAGAGAGATAGGATGCTATGAGAGGGTTAAACTCTGAAAAAGGAACTTTCAAAAGCCTGTGGTGCTTTAATGGGAATTAGAGAATCTTTGTTTTCCTTGGAAATGGATTTGGTAGGTTTCTGTTAAAATCCACCTACTCTCCACCTACTTTACCCACTTAAACCTACTCCACTAAACCTAACCCACTACACCACTACCACATCACCTACTCCACTAAACCTAACCCACCACCTACTCTCCACCTACTTCACCCACTTAAACCTACTCCACTAAACCTAACCCACCACCTACTCTCCACCTACTTCACCCACTTAAACCTACTCCACTAAACCTAACCCACCACCTACTCTCCACCTACTTCACCCACTTAAACCTACTCCACTAAACCTAACCCACCACCTACTCTCCACCTACTTCACCCACTTAAACCTACTCCACTAAACCTAACCCACTAAATCCACATACTCTCCACCTACTTCACCCACTTAAACCTACTCCACTAAACCTAACCCACTAAATCCACATACTCTCCACCTACTTCACCCACTTAAACCTACTCCACTAAACCTAACCCACTAAATCCACATACTCTCCACCTACTTCACCCACTTAAACCTACTCCACTAAACCTAACCCACTAAATCCACATACAGAGCGCGTGTTGGCCTCTTCGTCATGGTCTTTATAAACCGAAGCGGAGGCTGAGGCTTGGAAGCATAACAAACCAGTTGAAACCTCTGTCTTCTCGGAGAGTCTGCATTTTCGGAGAGCTTGTCTCTAAGAACTGCAAATCTTGAAACACTCTGTAACCAACCCTGTCTGACAGTACCAATCGGTAATCGCTGCGTTTCTGAAACACTTAGCAACCCAAAAACATGGCCTCTTCTTCCCGTTCAGCTATCCAGAATATGGCCTCTTCTTCCCGTAGTCTGCTCACTCTCTTTCCCGATCTCAACGAGTCAACAGGAGAGATAACTGGTGCGGTGGCCCGTGAATCTCAACCAAACACCTCTGGTTTTGCTCCGTTGAACTTTCCGATGCGGTCGGTGGAGCAAAAAATGGCAGTGCAAACGGATATTGAGGCCAATCAGTATACATTGAAGTCATGTGTGGAAACCATGACTGCGGTCACAAACTTGTCGCACCGGCTGCAGAGTAGGACAAATGAGGTGCAGCAGTTAAACGCCCAACTGGCTCTGCTCCAGCGCATGGTATAAGGAGGCGCGAGCAGAGATAAGTGTGCTAAAGGCGGAAAATAAGGAGCTGAAGCGGAAGGCCACCGTGATGTTCCGATTTGGAGATCTGCCATATGCTGCAGTGGAGGAGCAGCGGGGAGTGAACGTGCTCGGTGGCGTGGGAAACACGGAGGCAGCATAGGCAAGGGCCTCCCAGGACGGAGGCAAGAAGAAAAGACCGGCGGAATAGGCGAAGAAGTGAGGTCGATTGGTGGCCGGCTGCAGAAAAGAAAACAAAGCTGTTGGTGTTGTTTTTTTTTTTTTTGTTTTTTTTTTTTTT